TCAAAAAAGGTCAAGAGGTCCCTGGCCGGTTTGGCTCAGCGGTTAGGGCATCGGCCCGCAGTCCAGAGAGACCCGGGTTCAGTTCCCGCTAAGGGCACATACCTCAGTTGCAGTTTGTCCCCGGCTCTGGTTGGGTTGTGCGGGTGGCAATCACTTGATGTGTCCCTTTCACGTCGATGTTTTTCTCCCTCTCTCTCTCCCTCCCACTCTATCTGAACAAAATATGGAAAAATGTCCTCGGGTGAGGATTTAAAAAAAAAAAAAGGTCAAGAGGTATAGGGAAATTATAACCAAGCCAGAGCAAGAAAAATAGTGCTTCTAGCTGGAAAAAGGTACTAGCTGCTCCCATTAAGTTTTCCATTAGCTTTCCAGGAGCTCCCTCTTCTGGCCATTGCTTATTAAAACTCCAGTGATCGGTTGCAGTTTGTCCCTGGCCCTGGTTGGTTGTGCGGGTGGCAGCCACTCGATGTGTCCCTTCACATCGATGTTTCTCTCTCTCTCTCCCTTCCTCTCTCTCCCTCCCACTCTATCTGTACAAAAAATAAAATAAAATAAAAAAATAAAACTCCAGTGAGAGTCAGGGAGCTTGGCACTCAGGCAGGCATCATCAACCAGTACCTTCTCCAGCTTTGTGGATTAGTGAACAAAGGCTGGTAATGAGATTGGGACATTTCTTACAAGGGCTTATGAATAATTGACTGGCTGGTGTGTGCCCATAACTAGGCTAATATGTGACAAATAGAGAACAACAAAGTCTGTATTTCCATAATCTGCCCCTTTTTTCTCTTTTTCTTGGCCTCGATTCTCCTTATTTCTCCACAGTGACCATGAAGGTGGCAATGTCAGTGCCCATACCAGCCACTTGGTGGGCAGTGCTCTTTCAGACCCCTACCTGTCCTTTGCAGCAGCCATGAATGGGCTGGCAGGGCCCCTACATGGACTGGCAAATCAGGTAAGACTATTCTTTTTCTTTTTCTGATCCATGTTTTTCTTAGTCCCATGCTTTTGTTTCTGATACTGGCATTTTCCTTGGCATATGTATTGACACTCTTATTCCCCAAACTTGATCCATAGGAAGTGCTTGTCTGGCTAACACAACTACAGAAGGAAGTTGGCAAAGATGTGTCAGATGAGAAGTTACGAGACTACATCTGGAACACACTCAACTCAGGGCGGGTAAACAGATGCTTAGCAACTAGGAAAGAAACCAAGACCCAAGTTCTGCAATTTGGAAAAATTAAGGAGAAAGAATGAGAAGTGATCCCTAAATTAGAGATCACCCACCCCTGCTCCCGATTTTTCTATCCTGAAGAATTTAGAAAAGATAAAGAATCTCTACCTGAGAATATAATTGGCTTTTTTTCCTCCTCACTCTTAATTTACAGGTTGTCCCAGGCTATGGCCATGCAGTACTGAGAAAGACTGATCCACGATACACGTGTCAGCGAGAGTTTGCTCTGAAACACCTGCCTAATGACCCCATGTTTAAGCTGGTTGCTCAGCTGTACAAGATTGTGCCCAATGTCCTCTTAGAGCAGGGCAAGGCCAAGAATCCTTGGCCCAATGTAGACGCTCACAGTGGGGTGCTGCTCCAGGTGAGTCTTCCCTTCCCTGCTTTCCCTTCAGTTTGTACCAAACCCTACTATTTTCTGGCATGCACAAAATCAATTCCCTAGTCAGAGCAGGGACTCTTATACCTCTTTCCTTACCTTTTTGATGAAGTTGCCTGTGTTTGGGGAGGTGTAGGCAGGAGGAAAAGGGTGCTCGCTTTTCAGAATCCCAATTGCTATACTTTTTCCCAGTGTCATTTCTGTTTAAGGCTAACTGGGTTAAAGTTTCCATAATCCTGGGTTTGTAAATGCCACTACCTCTGGGCCTTTAACAAAACACTGTTCTCTTTTACCTTACAGTACTATGGTATGACGGAGATGAATTACTACACAGTCCTGTTCGGGGTGTCACGAGCTTTGGGTGTACTAGCTCAGCTCATCTGGAGCCGAGCCCTCGGCTTCCCTCTAGAGAGGCCCAAGTCCATGAGCACGGATGGTCTGATGAAGTTTGTGGACTCTAAGTCAGGGTAAAACTGGAGACGGGCGGGAAACTACCAGAAGTGAGGAAGCTTTAAAAAAAAAGTATACTTTTGTTTTGTTTCAGGGGGCTTTTTAAAGACTTAAGATTAAATTGTATCTGAGGCACTGATAATAAGTTTGAGGTTAAAATACAAATTAAGACTTTAAAAGATGAAAAGTGACCCCTTTTCCCCTAACCAGCTCTTTTTCCCTGCCTGGTATAAGTTGCCCATCAACTGTATGATGACCAGGACTAATATGGAATGGGTTAGATCTGGCCCCCAATACCGTCCCTACAATGAGAGTCTGGCTTCTCTTTCCCTGGGTCAAAGCTGATTGTAGAGAATCTGCAGTCACTTCAGAGCTTTTGGTTCTATTCTGCCCCACCCTCAATAGGCCAGCAAACCAGGACTCTGCCCCTTGTGTTTCCATAGGAATCATGTTGGATTGCCAGCTGTACCAAGCCCTGTTGCCCTCTCCCATATGCAGAGACACTTCCTAACAAGACCCATTGGTTAGCTGGACATGCTTTGGGCTTTTTTTTTTTATGCTACCAGATGGCCATAAAGGCCATGACCATAAAGCTCATGGCATTTATTGTTACTGGCACCCAGTGTTTGATTTTTATTTCTCTTTTTAAAATTATCCCATAAAAATTAAGATCTGGGAGTGTTCTATTCTCCACTACTTTAATACCTCCTTTGAGATTTTCTATATATGCTACATCTCAAGCTGAGGATGATCTGGACCTTCCCCCTCTTGGTCCATACAAGAGACCTCTTGCAGCAGGTTGTAGAAACCACTGTCTGATACAGGGTCTTTCCCAGTCATTTGGCTTTATCAGTACTTAACATGAACTAAGTTTTTTAGCCATTACCCTGACCTTTTTTCCCTTTATTTTAGTATGTTGTGGGCCATAGAATAGGGACTTAGGAATGACCAGCATGATATATTCATGGTCTTGGTCCCAGGGGTACTAGCACCTTTTTTTGAGCAGGGACATGATTTAAGTTCAGACATGGTCTTCTTTGAATATCAAGTCCTAGGGCTGAGGGCATTAAAAATAGTAAGCCTCCCTCCTCATCCCCTGCCACAAGAAAATATTCCTTTATTTATCAAGGTCCTTATCCTGACTGCCCCATCCCTAAGACTTCACAGTATAATGTTTGTTTTAGAAGCCCCATCTGCACAGGTCTTCAGTGACTCAGAATGCTCAACTGCCTTTTCTTTAAGAAAGGATTGAAATACACTCCTGCTGTGCCCCCTTCCTCCCTCACAACTCCTGCTTGTGTTTGTGTGGATCCCTAATCCCCAGAACCACGCTGTTCAGATGGACACACTGTCTATAAACCCTTGGGTAACTTGTCATGATGCAGACTTCAGGTTGTTCTGTATAAAATGCAAAATAAATGTTTTTATTAACAATGCTTGAGCCTGCTATTAAATAAATCCTGGAAGAATCTATTATGAGGTAAGAAATCTGGCTGGCAAGATCCCAGACTTAGGTGGGGTATAAGTTATCATGTATATCCCTTTATTTTTAGGTAGGTTTTGCTTTCTTTATCCTAATCTGAAGACAGGCTCCCTGTGAGATTTCCAAAGAAGATTTCTGTCTTTCCTGAAGGTTAGAAGTCCTTGACCTTTAGCCCTCATCCTTCCTAATTTTGTTGTAAGGTAGAACACTCAAGGACTTTAGCTGAGACTTCACCTCACAACTGCTGGTGTGACTGATCCAAGGAAACTGGTCCGGCCCACTGGGTGAAAGGAACAAACTATGCCAAAGACAAATAGGGGTAGAACAGCTAGCTCAGGATGTGAATCGCTAGAGTGTTCTGGTACTTCATGGAATGCCTATTCTTTGCAACCTCCCATAAAATAAGAGGTGGTCCTGAGGACATCAGTTATATGGGAGGTCTGAAACCAGATTATTCTATCTTGAGACTCCTGCTGTAACTGACCTTCTGAAAAAGTCTATTAATAGGCAAGGGAGTGGGTACTAGGTCCTGGCTTGTAAAATGTACTACTATAGTTAGCAAGGACACTATGTTCAAGAGGCCTTCCTGCACCTTCACTCTGATAGGAGGGAAGCCATGACTTTGTTCTGTTCTGCTATATCTATATTATTTTCCCAAGAAACTATACAAAAAAGCCAAGCCCTGGCCAGGTGTAGCTTGGATGGTTAGAGTGTCATCCCAATACACCAGGGTTACTGGTTTGATCTCCAGTCAGGGCACATACAGGAAACAACCAATGAATGCATAAATGGATGGAGCAACAAATCAATGTCTGTCTATCTCTCTCTCTCTCTTTCAAATCAATCAATAAAAAACATTTTAAAGCCAAATTCATGCTGTCACAATTTATTGAAATTTTATAAAAACTCAGGCCAAATGGAAGAATAAGGTGCAGCCCAAGAATATAACCCTGTTCAGTGCTTTTTTTTTCTCCTCACCAGTGGGCACTGATGATAAGAAAGTCCCAGGCTTTCCACTAGCGTGGAAATAGTGAGATCATGTGATTTCAAGCTGTGGCCAGATCTCTGGTATCCCCTGAGGCATTTCAAGCAAGCAAAAGTAATTGACCATCCAGTTCCTCTTGTGTCAGAGGAAAAAGCTCAATTTATTCAATCCTTAAGAAAAGTTGCTATTTTTCCTGGTCAGACACTAAGGTACCTTGACAGGGTTCAGAGATGACCACACAGTCCTAATTATAATTCATTGTGAGAAGGCTGCAGGCATATAGGGCTCTCATGATGAGCCTGGTCATTTCCTAAGCACGTGTCCTTTTTATACCCCATGCCTTCTCTTTCCCCCAGCATTTCCAGCCAGCTTAGAGCCCAATTTCTGGAGAACTGAAAGGGAAAACAATATAAACACAAACTCCTCTCAGATTGGAGCAGGAACCAAAATGAAATAAAAGAATTGGGTGAAGAGGAGAGAGTACAAGAGAAGCTAAAGAACAATCTTTTGCCTCAAGTGTGGTGCACCTCATGGAACATCAGTTCACGGGGGATGGCTGTTTCTGGACCAAACTTGGTGGCTGCCCGGCGCTCGAAGGCAGCAACATTCTGTTTGACAACCTCATCAAAAAACATGGTGGCCAGCTGGGAGTGCAGCAGAGAACGAAATTCAAAGGAAATCTGGGAATGGGTAAGAGACAGTCAGAAACTTCAAGACCATGTTGGATAGTCCCTGGCCAAATGCAAGGATACTTATTCAGTGCCTTTCTTCCCCTCCCCCTCTAGTTCCTTAGAGCCCCGCAAAAGCCTTAACTTAGGACTGACTGGGCACAATATTCAAGTTTGATAAAAGGTCAGACCTGTGAAAAGTGTCATTGACTTGGGAAGTGTTAAGTGCTAGTTATACATAAAGAATAACTGTCACGTAGCCCTGGCCAGGTAGCTCAGTTAGAGCATCGTCCCAATACACCAAGGTTGTGGGTTCGATCTCCATCTGGTCAGGGCACATACAAGAAGCAATCAATAAATGCATAAATAAGTGGAACAACAAATCAATGTTTTTCTCCCTAAAAAATCAATTAAAATAAAAAAGAAAATAACTGTCACAGTACCTCAGCTCTGCCCCCACACCCAGTTGTAGCCCTGTGTCATACAGGCTCCTAACTCACCGAAAAGTCCACAGTGCAAGTTCGAGGGTAGGCAGGAATACCAGGGCTGAATCGCCAAATTGTCTCTAAGTGATTGAAGAGCTTGCCATCAGTGCAAACAGCCTAGAATAGGGCAGTCAGGTAGTTAAACATCATACAGTGGGATAAAACCTATAATAAATATAGCACACTATAAGAAGGAATTGAAAGTCATTTTCCTTTCCTTCTAATATTTTATTGGTGACGTATTTGAGATGTGGAGATAAAATCATTACAAGGAAGGCCAAAATGGCCCTTAAATGTAAAAATGCTAGAGAACACAGAAAAAAAACTTCCTGATCAATCTGTCTCAGACAGGCCTCACCTTGACCATGTGAGGTTTGACTGTAGAAACAGCAGAGGTATAACGTTCCATGACAGGTGGAAAGCCAACCTCCAACTGGGCCTTCAGGTGACCTTTGCGGCTGGATACCACCAAAGACTTCTTACACCAGGGCACAAACTCGCAGTACTCCTGGACATTGGACACTACCTCGAACATCTCCTGCATTGAGTACCTAGGGGAAGGAATCAGAGAGGCCAAGGAACTGCCAGCTGATTCAGGCTCCTTGCCCTGGCTGCACTGCCCCCAGTACCTCTGTCCACTAACCATACACCTTCAGGAACTAGAGATCCCAAATAAGCCTGAATGAATTCCCAAATGCAAAGGTGCAAATTTTCATATTAATGGTTAATGTTACTTTGTTTTACAGTTTAGAAAATGCTTTTGCGTTTAGTATCTATTTTTATCTTAAGAGGGCTCATCAAGAAAGAACAGCCCTGGCCGGTTTGGCTCAGCGGTTGGAGCGTCGGCCTGCTGTACAGAGAAAGAAAGAACAGAGGTTGTCAATCATACAAAGACTCAAATCCTGCCGGGGGAGGGGGGGGGGAGGCTCAGTCGATTGAGCATCCTCCCATGGACTGAGGTCCAGGTTCAATTCAGGATCAGGGCACATGCCCGGGTTTCAGGCTAAGTGCCCAGTAGGGGGCGTGCAGGAGGCAGCTGATTGATGTTTCTCACATTGCTATTTCTACCTTTCTCCCTCTCTAAAAAATCAATAAAAACAGTCCTGACCGGTTTGGCTCAGCGGTTAGAGCATCGGCCTGCGGTCCGGAGAGACCCGGGTTGGGTTCCCGCTAAGGGCACATACTTCGGTTGCAGTTTGTCCCCGGCCCTGGTTGGTCGTGCGGTGGCAGCCACTCGATGTGTCCCTTCACGTCGATGTTTCTCTCTCTCTGTCTCTTCCTCTCTCTCCCTCCCACTCTATCTGTACAAAAAATGGAAAAATGTCCTCGGGTGAGGATAAAAAAAAAAAAAATCAATAAAAACATATTTAAAAACAAAAGACTCAAATCCCAACTCTACAACTTTCTAACAGTACAACCCTAGGTACATTACCTGTGCCTCCATTTTCTCACCTGCAAATCAGAAGTAATAACTACCTAATTCATAGGTTTGTTGAAAGGATCAAATGAGAAAATGTGTAAAACACCTAAGCAGCCCTGCCTGGTTTTGCTCAGTGGTTAGAGCGTGGCCCAAGGACTAAAAGGTTTCAGGTTCGATTCCAGTCAAGGGCACGTACCTGGGTTGCAGGTTCAATCCCTGGACCTGGTCGGGGTCATGCGGGAGGCAACCAATCTGTGTATTTCTCTCACATCCATGTTTCTCTCTCTCTCCCCCCATCCCCCTCCCTCCCTTCCCTCCACTCTCCCCCCCAAAAATATGAAAAAAAAAATATCCTCAGGGGAGGATTAACAACACAATAATAATAATAAACCTAAGCGGCCTGCCAGCAGTAACAAGGGCTCACTCAGTGTTACCTATTTTATATTGTGCTCAGAATACATAAAGTTAGGTCAGCAGAGAAACAATACCCTGTTGTCTTATATTGTCCAACTCTAGGTATTCCACTTAATGCACATGCAGAGCAACCAAGAAGAAGGGGAGAGGGGGTTGAGATTAAGGTTGGAAGGCTGGCAGGAGAGGATGAAGGATCGGTAATATATCTGGAAGAGTTGGCCACGGATGAATCTTGCCCACTATTGCGACCCTTGCATTCTAACCTGGACATGGTTATTTATTTGGAGGGGAAGGGAATGTGGAGGGATGCTGGACAGGGGAGGATGCTCACCCCATGATCCTACGTTCGGAGTAAGCCTTTCTCTTGTTGGTGAAGGGAGCAGCAAAGCCCATGAAGGAACGGCTGGGAGTTAAGCCAGCCTCAGCCCCCATGACTTGGGCAGCCCGGGGAAAGAGGGGGCTGCAGGATATCAGAAATCTAAGCCTGAAAGGAAAGGACAGACGATGTCAGGTTTCTTTGGTGTTCAACATTCCCAGATGAAGGAGAAGAGGGGCACATCCCAGAGGAAGGTCGTCCAGACAAGCTTTTCCCCCAGCACCTGCTGCAGCCCGCCAGGCTCCCTGGCCAGGCAGTCACGAGTGCGAAAGGTCGAGGGCAGCCGAGGACAGTGCCGCGGGAGGAGACGGGAAAAAGCAGGGTGCGTGCGAACTGCCAGTTGCCTTTGACTGTGGTCTACGCTACTGCCGAAAGTTAGGAAACATCCTAGGCCCCGAGGCTTCGCCAAGCCCGTTGCTTCCAGGGCATCCGTGAGGAGCAAGAACTGGCTGGGCACCCACCCCGGGGACTTCCTCTCGCGAAAAACTTGCAAAGGTGTTCCAAAGCTGTACATTGGACCCCAGGGTGCGACCGCTGCCACCCCCCTGCCACGCTAATATCCCTGGGCTGCAGTTCTCCACTGCGGAACGTCGGGGTCCTGAGCGACCCCCTTTCCTCCGGTGCGGCCGCCCGCACCTTCTTCTCACCTCATTGGTCGCGGCGATCGCGGAGGGCCGGGGGGCGGGGCCGGGCGCGCGCCCGGGCGGAGCGGGAGGCCGCAGCAGTGCTGGGCCGCCGCGCGCGTCCCGGCGGGGAGCCGCCGCGCGCCCGCCGAGGCCATGCGCGCGACCCTCCCGAGCCCTCGCTCTGACACCCGCGGCGCCTTCCTCGCTCCAGGGGAAGCGGACGCCCAGCAGGTTCTGGGAGCTCGGGCGTGGTGTGGGGCAGCGGCTCCTCTTGCCTTGCTCCGCCCGGGCGGCGGGATGAGCTAGAACTGAAACCGCGACCGGGCTCCCGCAGCTCCCAGTACCCCCACGTCACGCGGTTGCCATGGCTCGGGATGGGGAGAGGGAGGAAGCAAGGGGACTACACGGCTTGTCGGGAGATGTAGTTTCGCACCTCTGGCGAGAAAGAGCACTGGGGTGTGTTTGGGAAGCTGCCGTAGTGCAAAGTCTCCAGGCAAATTACTTGGCCAGTCTGAGGTCATAGACCTGCTACATAAGCACGAAGGCGATTTTGTGGACGTGTCAACAGCAAGTATCTGTTGATTTTTTAGAGGCTTTATCATATTCCACTTTATTTATAGTTAGTTCTATAAATTCTGTTCATCTTTGTAGTCTCCATAGTGTTTAGTACTGTGCTTTACATCTTTGAGAAAGGAAATGTTTATTCCAAGTTCTGGGCTAAGATTTTACATAATTTTCTCCTTTAATATTTTTTAAAACAATTTTTTTTCTTTATTAATTTTAGAGAGAGAGGGAGGGAGAGATAGAAACATCGATGAGAGAGAACATGGATTGGCCGCCTCCTATATGCTCCCCACTGGGGATCAGGTCCACAACCTGGGCATATGCCCTGCCCGCGAATCGAACCAGCGACCTCTTAGTTCATGGATCGATGCTCAACCACTGAGCCACACCTGCCCGGCTCTTTTAATATTTATATAAAGAAGTTGAGGTGGAAAGAATCGCTCTTACTTCTAGGGGAAAAAAAAACATCATTGTCTGGAAAAATATGTACTTGATGAAGGGTGAGACCTCATGGGCAGATGAAACCTAGATAATGAAATGTCACTATACTGCTTTCCATTATGATACAAGGCATAAAAAAATACTCTTGGTGCCCAACCAGTGTGGCTCAGTGGTTGAGCATTGACCCATGTACCAGGAGGTCGCCGGTTCGATTCCTGGTCAGGGCACATGCCCAGGTTGTGGGCCCAATCCTCAGTGGGGGGCATGCAGGAGGCAGCCAATCAATGTTCTCTTTCATTGATTTCTCTCTCCCTCTCCCTAAAATCAATAAAGAAAAAAAAATTTTTTTTTCTACTTATTATTAGATAGAGTGGGAAGGAGGGAGAGAAAGACAGACAGAGAGAAACATCGATGTGACAGAGCCACCAGGACAGGGGACGAACCGCAACCGAGGTACATGCCCTTGACCAGAATTGAACCCCACAACTCATTGGTCCATGGGCCAATTCTTTTTTTTTTTTTTTTTTATCCTCACCCGAGGACATTTTTCCATTTTGTTCAGGTAGAGTGGGAGGGAGAGAGGGGAACAGAGAGAGAGAGAAACATCGATGTGAAAGGAACACATCGAGTGGCTGCCACCCGCACGACCAACCATGGCCGGGGACAAACTGCAACCGAAGTACATGCCCTTAGCGGGAACTGAACCCGGGTCTCTCCAGACCGCAGGCCGACGCTCTAACCGCTGAGCCAAACCGGCCAGGGCCATGGGCCAATTCTTAACTGCTGAGCCAAACTGGCCAGGGCAAGAAAAATTATTTTAAAAAAAGAATGGTGGTGCCTGCTGTTACAATTAAAGATGTTTATGCTACTACATTGCAAGCTCCTCCTTTGCTTTCTAAGTTTTAAGTAAAGCTCTCTACATTCAGGAAAGCTTTGTATAAGTAGTGTCATGTGGGTGGGTAGGTAAAATAATGAAGGACTATGTTGCCACCCTGGTTGGTTTGGCTCAGCAGTTAAAGCCTCAGCCCACAGACAAAAGAGTCGCAGGTTTCTGGTCAAGGGCATGTACCTCGGTTGCAGTTTGTCCCTGGCCGTGGTCAGGGTCCTGCAGGAGGCAACCAGTTGATGTGTCCCTCCCATGTAGATGTTTCTCTCTCTCCCTCCCTCCCACTCTATCTGAAGATAAATAGAAAAATATCCTCAGTCCTTCTCTCTCTTTCTCCGCCATCGTGGTGCGTGTGCTTGACTCTCTTTCGCCATGTCTTCTCATAAGATTTTCAGGATCAAGAGGTTCCTGGCCAAGAAACAAAAGCAGAATCGGCCCATTCCCCAATGGATTCAGATGAAAACTGGTAATAAAATCAGGTACAACTCCAAGAGGAGACATTGGAGAAGAACCAAACTGGGTCTATAAGGAATCACACATGAGAGATGGCTCACACATTTATACTGTATCCAGCTTGCCTGCATCTTACCATAATCACTGAAAATATCACTACTGTCTGGACAGTTGGGCATTTTAATTAGGAAATTATTGGAGGCGTGATTTTCTTTTTTCTGCAGTAGATTGGTTCAGTAATAAATGTGAGACCTTTAAAAAAAAAAAAAAAAAAGAAAAGAAAAATATCCTCAGGTGAGGATTAAAAAAAAAAAAAAAGACAATGTTGCCTTCTGTGTCTAAATGATGTGGAAGAGAGACATCTTACCCAGAAGCAGGGGCCTGGAAACAGATATAAATCCTCCTGTTCCTTCCACTCTTTGAGATTGACATTTATTTTGGACTTTCCTGAATATGGATTGATTTCAAGTTTGAGCCCATTTTATCTGGAATTCAATGAGCAGGAGTCCTCCCTTGAACCCTGGCTTACAGTTAACATTTTGTAAGAAGGTGTTTTAATTCTTATATTTATATATAAAGCCCTAAGTTGGGGAATGATCTCATTTCTTTTTCATTGCTAACATTTCTTCTTTTTCCTTCATCACCCCGACCCCCACCATCAAGATAAATGTCTCCTTTCAGTTCAAAGATGGTAATCTAAAGCCTCTCTCAATGGGTATGTACCTGAGGGACAAATTTACTCTTTCCAATCCCACTTTCTTGTCTAGTCCCACTCCCTCTGACTAAGGGTTTACATATGTGAGACAGTTGTTTCAAGTGAGGAGGAAGGATCTGGCCAGATAAAGACAGAAATTGACTGGGATAATGATGGAAATGTGACCTCATTAACATTCTGCTTTATCGGAATTAACTGCTGAAGAATCCCCAAGGTACAACAGGCCTGCCAAGCCAATTCGCTTGTTGTACCCTACTAATTAGACTAGGTAATTACTGCCTTTTAACTTTTCTTAGTTCATTTCCTGTAGTTCAAACAACCAATTTCCTGCCATTTCCCCATTATTCTGTATTGATAACTTCCTTCAGATACTAACTCAAAATACACCTCCTCCAGGAAGACCCTCTTGACTGAACCCATCTCTCAACACTGTCATGTAAAAGTAGCATGTATCCCATATTCATTATTTGTTTCATGTGTATATATATGTGTTCTTTTACTAAGTTATAAGCTCCACAAAAACAGACACCATTACTTCTAAATTTCTACTTCAAAACCAGTTAGTATAGTGCTGTACTCAATGGTGAGTTTTCAATCAACATTTGTTAGAAAAACGAAAACTGGATCTTTTAATATTTTTCTCTTTATTGATTTTAGAGAGAAAGGAAGGGAGAGGGAGAGGGAGATAGAGACATCAATTGGCCACCTCCTGCATGCCCCCCATTGAGGATTTGGCCCACAACCTGGGCATGTGCCCTGACCAGGAGTCAAACCAGTGACCTCTTGGTGCATGGGTCAGCACTCAACCACTGAGCCACACCTCCCAGGCTGAAACTGAATCTTTTTTTTTTTTATCCTCACCCGAGGACATTTTTCCATTTTTTGTTCAGATAGAGTGGGAGGGAGGGGGAGAGAGAGAGAGAGAGAGAGAGAGGGAAACATCAACGTGAAAGGGACACATCGAGTGGCTGCCTCCCACACGACCAACCAGGGCCAGGGACAAACTGCAACCGAGGTACGTGCCCTTAGCAAAAACCAAACCTGCGTCTCTCTGGACCGCAGGCCGATGCTCTAACCACTGAGCGAAACCGGCCAGGGCTGAAAACTGAATCTTAAAGACAGACGGGCATCTGCCTAGATTTATCCAAATATAAATTCAGTAGTTGAATCCAGTACGACTGTCCACATTAAAGGGCTTTGCCACCACCTCTGAACTCCTTCTCCCCAACCCTATGCAGCTCCTTGAGCCCTGGAAGTATCTGTGTTACCTACATTATTTTCCTTTTTTCCCTACTGGGAAATCCTCTTTCTGTACTCTGGATAACATTAAAAATAACTTTTCTAGCCCTTCCTCCTCTTTCCAGCTGCCCAAAGAACCTGGCTGGCAACCACCCTTGTTCACCTCCACTCCAGAGCCAGAACCAGGCACGTGACTCCAGCTCAACTCCTGACTCCCAATTCCTCAGGTTACCAAGAGCTATTTCAGGCCATAGAGGCCACAGAGTCCCCTCCTCCCCATTCTCTGGGCCATATCCTAGCTTAGCCCTCCCTGGAAGTTCCGTTATACCCAATAGCCAAGTCAGCATACCCCAACACCCATATCCATCTCATCTCCAGCTACCTTCAGTTTCTACTTTTTTCAGCCTCATCTTCATCATCATCATCATCATCATCAAATATTAAGTGCCTGTTCCCATGTGCTGCTCTGCTAGAGGTATAAAGAATAACATCTACTGTTGCCTTCAGAGAGCCCAAAATCATTTTTTTCATAGAAAAACAAACAATGTGAAGTCCTGTGGTGAAATAAAGACTAGCTATTAAAATCCATTCTGAATTTGTTGGACACTTGTATGTCAAAGATGGAAGGTGAAATGGACAATAAAGGTGTGCAATTTAAATGTGACTGCTGCAGGGTCAAGTAAGTAAGTGTTAAGGAGACCCAATAAAAGGGAAAGAACCTGATAAACAAGGAAGACTTCCTGGAAGAGGTAAGTTTTACATACTATTGTAAATTTTATTTTCAATATGGTAAAAAAATAACAATATATATTAAAAGTATATAGTGATAGCCCTGGCTGGTTTGGCTCAGCGGTTAGAGCATTGCCCACGGACTGGAGAGTCTGGGGTTTGGATCCCGCTAAGGGCAGGTACCTTGGCTGCAGTTTGTCCCCGCCCCCTTGGGGTTGTGGAGTCATGTGGTCCTGTTGGTGGCAACTAGTCTATGTGTCTCTTTCTCATGGATGTTTCTCTCTTTCTCCCTCCTGCTCTATCTGAAGATAAACGGGGGGGGGGGGGGGGGGGGGGGGGGGGTCCTTGCCCTGGCCGGTTTGGCTCGCCGGTTAGAGCATTGGCCTATGGTCCCGAGAGACCCCGGTTCGGTTCCCACTAAGGGTATTTACCTCGGTTGCAGTTTGTCCCCGGCCCTGGTTGGGTAGTGCCCGATGCACGTCCCTTTCACATTAATGTTTCTCTCTCTCTCTTCCTCCCACTCTATCTGAACAAAATATAAAAGAATGTCCTCCGGTGAGGATAAAAAAAAGTATATAGTGATAGATACATTTTCTTTTTCTTTTTTTAAATTCTCATCTGAGGATATTTTCCCATTTATCTTCAGATAGAGTGGGAGGGAGAGAGAGAGAAAAAACAAACATCAATGTGAGAGAGACACACAGGTTGCCTCCTGAACGACTTGGACCAGGGCCAGGATGAACCGCAACCTAGGTACAGGCCCTTGACCAGAATCAAATCTGCAACTCTGGTCTGCGGCCACGCTCCAGCCGCTGGATCAAACCGGCTAGGGCTACATTTTCTTTTTCTTTAAAAAAAATTTTCCCCTTATTGATTTGAGAGAGAGAGGAAGGGAGAGAGAGGGAGAGATAGAAACATGGGTGAGAGAGAACATCCATCATCCATCAGCCGCCTCCTGCATGTACCCCACTGGGGATCGGGCCCACAACCTGGGCATGTGTCCTGCCCAGGAATAGAACAAGAGACTTCTTGGCATGGGTCCACGCTCAACCTTTGAGGCACACGGTCTGGGCCCTTTGAGCCTTTTAAAGTGTAGCAAACACTCTACTACCTTAACTTGATAATGTAGTAATTAGGGAGTCTAAAAGTGCCCCTTCTGTTGGCTCTGGAGGGCTTCAGCGGCCAGTTGTCCTGGCCTCTTTGTGGGGGTTTTTTGCTGCAGGAGAGTCCTTGGGATTTCTCTCCGAAGTTTGAGCACTTTTGCTCTTTCCTTTTTATACAACTCATGTCTCCGCTGATGGATTTACGCGCCTTCTCTTCCTTTGAAGCTATTGACATAGATAACTCCCAGACATTCACGCCCTTGCTTCCCCAAGTCTGGAGGGGATTTTGGGGTGTGTAATCGCAGACGGGAGGAGCTGGCTCCCAAAGAGGCATTGAGGCATTGTGGGCTGGGTCCTCGGGTTGGTAGGCACCGCAGGGCAAAGGTCCGAGTTGCCTCGGAGTCTTGTGGGCAGACCCCGGGGGCGCCAGACTGGAGCGGAGAGCACTGCGCGGAGGGCCTGGGGAGCCGAGGAACCAGGGCGCGAGGATGGGGAGTCTGGGGAGCTGCCAGGGCAGGGCGGAGGGCGCCGCAGCCCCGGGCAGCGCTGCAAGAGTCCTGAGGCGGGGCCACGGACGGCCGCCAGGGAGCGCTGCGGGCTCCCGCTCGCCCGCCCCCCCGGTAGGCGGGGCCGCGCTCTCCCCGCAGCCGCCGCCGCAGCCGCCGCTGGGCCGACCCGTGTCCCCGGTGGATCCTCCGCCGCCGCCGCCGGGAGCTCGATGCGGACGGAGCCCGGGCCGGGCCATGGGGATCCTCAGCATCACGGATCAGGTCAGCTCTTCTGCCTTTTCCCGCTTCTTCCCTCCAGGGCCCGGCGCCGCCGCCACGCGAGCCCGGGGATGTGCGGCCTAGGCAGGGCCCGAGCCCGGAGCTCCCGCGGCTCCCGCCCCGCCCCACGCCACGCTCACCTCAACCGGGCCGGTGTCCTTGGGGGCCTGGCGACCGGCGGAGACGCCGCGAGAGTACCCTGCAGCCAGGACCCCAGAGTGGAGCCCCTTCAGCGACGCCCCCCTCAGACCTGGAGTCCCCCGCCCCCCGCCCCGGTTCGCTCCGGCCCGCTCCCTGAACGCTGGTTCTCCCTGCAGCCGCCCCTGGTCCAGGCCATCTTTAGCCGAGATGTGGAGGAAGTGCGTTCCCTCCTCTCGCAGAAGGAGAACATCAATGTGCTGGTGAGTTGAGATCAGGAGGATGGCGAGCCGGTAATCTGGGGCCTGGTGTTCTGGACTCCTCCCACCAGTGGGGCGGCTCCGAGTCTCCTCGGTTCGGATGAGGCCGCAGCTCTTTCCACCCCGGGGTGGGCGCCTGCTCTACCTTTGGGGGAGAGAGGTCAGGCTCGGAGCACAGACCAGTGGCTGAGGATGCCCAGAAACGGTGTTCTCTTCTGAAGCATCAGTGTCTGCACCGCCCCTTCCTCTCTTGGAAGGAGGAGA